ACCTAATGAGAAGGAAGGACTCACTGAAGAAGAGCCTATTGCTGGGAAAGGTTGAGGGCAAAAAAGAAGGGGATGACAGAGAATGAGGTGGCTGGATGGAGTCACCAAAGCAGCAGGGGTGAGCTTAAATGGACTCCATGGGATGGTAAAGGGCATGTAAAGGTAAAGGTAAAGGGCAGGAAGGCCTGGAGGAATGTTGTCCATGGGGTTGCAATGGGTCAGACACAACTTCGCAGCTAACAGCAACAGAATTCACAAATGAATAAAAGAAGGATCATACTGGGTCTTACTGCTTCCATATGATTGCTGCTAACTATCTCGGCTAACCAAACACTTCTGAAGAACTGGAAGCTAAAAGACAGATCAAATGAAAGAGCACTGAACTCATTAGCAATTCACTGTAACTAGTGCAACGTTTTTGAGAATTCATAGAATTGCCATCTTCAACATAGTGCCCTTAGACCAGGGCTGTCAAACTCACAGCCTGTGGGATGGATGCATCACACGCTGGCCATGCCCACGCCCAGTTTAGTGAAGGGAAAGAAAGTCCCAATATGTCACGTGACGACGCCGTTACAATGTGAGTTTGACACCCCTGCCTTAGACTATTTGATTACAAGTACCATTAACTCTAGACAATTGGAAATTGTGGGATAGGTAGTCAAAAAGCTATCAAGGGGCTTCTAGACCAGAGCTTTATTTATTTCAAATTCCCTATGGAATATATTCCTTATTGAAGGAACAGAAGGAAAGTTTTCTCATTTTTATCTTAGTCATTGTGTTTTCAAAATATGCCCCCTCTCCATTTTTTGAGCCTGCTTTGCACAAAGAAATTTCAGAACCAAAAGCTGAGGATGTATTCAGATTATAATGTGATCAGGGCTGGCGGCTTTGGTTTACCTTGTAAGCTTTCACAAATCGTACAAAGACTGGGAAGAAGACTGATGGAGGAGTAGTCTTGGGATTTTCTCCAAAATATTTCACAGCATCATCAAAGGCATCCTGTAAGAGAGAGACTTTTAATTTTTTCCCCCATTGAAGCAACTATTTTTTTTTCTTTTGCACTAAAATTACAAAGAGCCAAGGCTTAACTGGTAACCAATTCATTAGGGCATACATATCTTATTTTGTTACAACAAAATACAGCTTCATACAATGCAATAAATACTGACAGGAGAAAAAAAGACAGAAATGTTTTCATACATTTCTAATAGAGAATTGTATCCTTCCAGGTAGTATACACACCTCTCTATCCTTTGAGATATTCCCTCTGCTATCACTACCAAATAAGAGCCTTCCTGTGAAGTTACAGCCTCTTCAGGAAATAGCAATTCTCTTTGGATGTTTTTGAACCAGGGCTTAACAATTATCCATCAGAGATGTTGTAATGGAGCAGAGAATTGGATTAGATTTACAAAGGGCCTTCCAACTCTATGAATCTACTTGTTACAGTTGGCTGCTTTTTCTATTATTACTTGATCTCCATGCCTTGGAGAATCATTGTAGCATGATGTGACTTTCATCAAGAGATGCATTTTCAATTGGCATACATTACTATTGCTTACATGTAGGATTTCAATCTACATCTAAAGTTCTTTTGCTCAGTATGAAGCATCTCAGTTATTGCTACCTTGTTTTCCTCTAGAACAGAGTTCCCCAATCTTTTTGGCTTTGTGGACAAGCGGGAGGTGGGGGGGGATGGTTCTGTGTGTACAGGTCCATTTGTGCGTGTAGATATTCATGCTCACCCATTACTTCCATAGCCCGGTTCCAAAAGGTCCAAGGCCCAATAGTGGGCTGTAGCCCAGCGGTTGGGGACCCTTGTTCTAGGAGTTGCTACATTTTAAATACCCCCTTTTCAATTCTGAGGAATTAAGGGATCCACTGTTTTCTTTGATCCACTGTCCTCCCCTCCAGACCCATGGTTTAGTCTGAGTCAGAAAGACCAGCCTACAGTTACCTTGCAAGAGGGAACTTCAACCAAGGTCTTTGTCAGGAACTATAATTACTATGTCACACTTGTACTTAGAAAATGACTTGTGCTTCTATCTGCACTGAAGAGATAATGGTCAGATGCAAAAGGTGAAATGTTCCTCTGCTCTCAGATCTGGATAGCTAAGTCTCTATGGAATACCTGGGCTATTTTTGCATCATCCTGCAACTTCTTCAATTTCCCTTCGTTGCTCTGGATGAATTCCTTTAGCATGGTATTGTGATCGTGCATAGTATACTCTCGCTTTGTTAAGTCCAGACCCCTTTGGAGTTCCTTTACATCTAGTAGAACATTTTCAAGGGATACTAAAAGAGAGGGTTAACACAATAGGGTTATATTTAGAGAGCACATGCCTCTAATTCAGATAGCATCTAAAATCCAGTAAGGAATTTTATACAGTAAGGCATGAAAATTTACCTGCTTAGGATAAATATGTTTCATAAGAGATGTACCATATATATATATATATATAAAATGTATA